AGTAATCATAAAAAAGAGATCAATCAACATGTAGTCTTCTTTAAAATATTTTTTAGTTGACATTATACTTAGTATGTATTTCTCTCAATTTTCTCTCTTCATTTTAAAATTCTGATAGTAAAAATAAATAAGTAAATAAAATTCTGAGAGTATTTTTTCTAAGGTTTAATGTGTTTTAATTAGCAAAAACATGTTTTAAGTTTGAACTTGCATAAATCTGAAAAAATAACAAGATTTTAATGCAACATTAAGCACAGAAATAAATTTAGCATTTAAACTATACAGTAAAGGATATTCTTGCTCTTAAGTGCAGGTAAATTCAATTATTTCAAATGAATGTGCTTTATATGTTAGTAGGTATATACAGAGAGTAGGACAGTTTGGTTCTCACTCACCTGTTTGCACAAATATTTAAAGATGTGCGTGAATTCTGTAGAAGCAGGGAATCTTCATTTCGTTCACCAAGGTGCAGTATGAGACCCAGAACCCAACATTAGGTTTTGTTTTAAGAAATAAGAGAACCAAACTATGAGAGACTCTGGACTCTGGAAACAAACTAAGGGTTACAGAAGGGAAGGGGTGGGGGGATAGGGTAACTGGGTGATGAGCATTAAGGGGGGCATGTGTTGTGACGAGCACTGGGTGTTACAGGTGACTAATGAATTGTTGAACACTATGTCAAAGACTAATGATATACTGTATGTTGGCTGACTGAACATAGGAAAAAAAAAAAAAAGAAAGAAAGAAGAGAACCATGCTGGATGTATGCAACTGGTGTAAGCCCAGCCCAACAGCCATCACTTGTCTGTGTGTACCATGAGCTCCAACCACATGGTATTTCTTTCTTTATATTTTTCAACCACATGCCATTTCTGTAGAGTTCCCCAAGTATTTGTGAGATGCGGTGGTAGTTTCGCACATGCTGTTCCTTCTACCTGGAATGCCCCCATGGCACTCCCCAAAAATGTCTCATCACCCATCACGCCCTAAGCACACCATCTGGGAAGTCCTCCCATCAGCATTCTGCTGCATTCTGTCCATACCTTGATTAGATCATTTATTTCATTGTGTTGTCTCCTTCCACCAGCTTGAGAGGTCTTACCTATCAATCCTTTTTATCCTTCCAGAGATTTCTATTTCTACCACAGAATAGATACCCAGTAACATTTCTTATATTAATCATTAGCCATAGGAACTTCACCTGCCTTTCCCCATTAAAAATGTTCTCATAGATCCTTCAAATTTACCCTTCAGAAGTAGCAGTTCATATGATTAGCTGAAAGACCAAGTTCGACTTTTTTTTTTTTTTTGTCTTTGAAGGAAGGGAAGTATTTAATCATGGATCAGTTGTTTAAGAGTTAAAGAACCATTCTTATTATCTACTTTTCTAGAGTGAGTTTTTTTTCCTGTTTTTTTTAATCATTTTTTTAAATTTATTTTCAGCATAACAGTATTCATTGTTTTTGTACCACATCCAGTGCTCCATGCAATCCGTGCCCTCTCTAATACCCACCACCTGGTTCCCCCAACCTCCCACCCCCCCACCTCTTCAAACGCTTCAGATTGTTTTTCAGAGTCCATAGTCTCTCATGGTTCACCTCCCCTTTTTTGATAACAGTCTTCAGCCTCATCATCCAATGCTATAGATTTAAACTTTATTTTTCCTTTGAAGGGGAGGGGTTATACTCATCACTTTGAGTATCCGATAAAATCTACGGATACTCTCTCCAGAATTTATCCACAACCACCTATACCCAAAACTGATCAGTATCAGGCTCTAAGGGCAGATGACCTGCTTCAAATTCTGGTTCTGCCATTTACCAGCTATGAGACCTGGGGAAAATTACTTAACTTCTCTATGTCTTGGTTTTCCCATCTTTAAATGGAGATAAGAATAGTACATTAGGGTTGTTGTGAGGACTGAGCTAATTACATAAAATGTTTCCACTGCTTGGCATAGTAATCCCTATATATAAGCCTTATAGAAGTAGGTTCTCGGAACTGGAGATGCTAAGAAAAACTGGATATTAGCATCTGCCTGAGGAGCTCAAAGGCTCACGGGAAAGACGGATGTGCAAATAAAACAAGGGACAGAGAGGAAGGAGCACTTTCCTCCTGAGGTCCAGGGTGGGAGTCAAGGAGGGCCCAGTAGGGAGGTGGCATTTTAGCTGAGTCTTGATGGGTGAGCAGGACTTGCTAGTTGGATTCGTTGGGAATGTACATTTCAGGCAGACGTGAGCAAAGATTATCTATGCAACCCCGTGAAAGCATGTGGGGCAGTGGGGGACGGCAGCTACTGAGAGTGTAAGGTACTGACGAGTGGAGCTGAAGCACGTTGCACACACTACAAATTGTTCTATTCGACACCCATGTTCAACCACCTTCTCCCTTCCCCTCCTTATTTTAGAGCTGGGGAATCGAAGTACTAGATTTTCCCGAACAGGTGAATGTCTGTGACAGGTAACACGGCTTTTGCTGGGAAGGGCTTCTCTTACAGAATAAAAATGCAAAGCCTTACACGGAGAAGGCTTTTTGCCTTTTTGCTTTCTTCCTCCCTCGAACTTGAGGTTGAGGCTTTAAGACAGGACGATGAGTGTCATCTGCTAACAGTGTGGTGGGAAGACCCAGAGAGCTCGAGTCCCTCGGTGTTCTCAGCAGCTGCACTTCCAGAACCACCTCTCTCTGGACTTCGTGTTTGTAAAAAATACCACAGCTGGCCCTACTTCCTCTGGCTCAGAGCCAAGTGCATCCGTTATGGACACAAGTGGTAAGTAACGCTGGGACAGCCAAGTCCTTGAGTGCTCGGCATTTAGGGGTGGAAAGTGCAGATCTTCAGTCAAGTTATCTAATATTTAACTTGAGAAATCAGTTACGCTCAGTCTGAGCCTCACTGGGGAGACCCGTGGCAAAACTTACTGTAGAACACCAACTTTATTTTTTTTTACTTACTTAAATTAGTTAACATACAGTGTATCATTAGTTTCAGATACAGAGTTTGGTAATTCATCAGTTGCACAGAACACCCAGTGCTCATTATATCTCATGCTCTCTATAAGGCCCATCACCCAATCCAGTTAAGGAAAACAAAACAAAACAAAACAAAAAAAAATCACCGACTTTAACCAGGGGAGGCTGGATAGAATGCAGGAGGTCAAAAGCAGAGGACTAGTGAGAGTGTGCTAGGATCTTTCCAGAGTGAAGTAAATCTTAACTAAAGAAGCAAAAATAATTTCAGAACTTAAAGTGGATTCCAGCTGACATTTTTAGACCAAAAACATTCTGATAGTGGTGGGTTTCTGAAATGTTCTTTGAGACTTATAATACCTTTGTGACTAAATGTTTTAGAACAAGTTGCTCTGAAGTTCTTCGGAAGAGAGAAGCCTTCGCCCCCCACCCCCACCCATGTACTATAAATTCCTGTGGCATCTTGTATTATCCCCAGGAATGCAGTGAGGAGACCAGAAATAATTGGTGACAATAGCCAGGACTGAAGGAACAAATAATTTAAGAGTCATTATTCCATGTTACTGGTACTCTCAGTGCTTTAGAGTCTGTTGATAACCAAAGCAGTAGCAAGTTTTAGTGCAATTCCTTTTCCTTTACATTGCTCTAACTTTAAACATTGCTCCTCTGTAAGGCCTGGGTCAGCGTTTATTAAGCCTAGGAAGTGGGTGGTGTAATTTAAGAGACAATGAATGAGATTTGTCCCCAAATATCTAATTACACTTTCTTATTCAAGGACGCTTGTAAAGTGTACAACAGAGATGACCTATTCTGAAGAATAAAGGAAGGAAACCTGTCCAAAGCAAGTCCTTGGGAAGGAGGAGCACATTCCCATCAGTAACAGCCTGATGAAGGTAACTTCAGGCTCAGATTGAGAATCACTGATTTCTTCAATCCACATGAGTAACAGGACATGCTGAGATTTGAACCAAGATTTGTGTGGCTGCAAATCTTTGCCTTTTTTTTTTTTTTAAAGATTTTATTTATTTATTTGACAGACAGAGATCACAAGTAGGCAGAGAGGCAGGCAGAGAGAGAGGAGGAAGCAGGCTCCCCACTGAGCAGAGAGCCTGATGCGGGGCTCGATCCCAGGACCCTGGGATCATGACATGAGCCGAAGGCAGAGGCTTAACCCACTGAGCCACCCAGGTGCCCCAGTCTTTGCTTTTAACACCAACATTATATGGTAGCCCCTCCCATGCCCTAAGCCTCCCTGCTGCCCAGCCCACACAGTCAGCAGGTCACAACCTCAAGCCAAAGCATGTGAGTTAAGCTGCCCAGCAGGTTATGAAAACTTTCTGTTAGTTCCCTAGGAGAGAACTTAGTCACCGTGAGGCCAAGCCTGACGTGCGTGTGTGTGGCTTTACTGAGGAACGTTCTCACTCCTGGCCAGTAGAGGACACACATACAGGAGTGGAGACAGGCGTTCATGAGACAGAACCAACCACTCGATACTCCAGCAAGTTACCGAACTCCATTCAGACCAGGAAGGTGGGATGCAAAATTAGGGTTCATGTTTATTTAAATCAAAAAATATGTAACTCCCAAGGGTATTGTAGGGCTTCATGATTTACCTGTCCCAGAAAACGGACAGTTTTAGAGTCTCTGGAACTGGTCTAGAGGGACACATTTAAAATCTGCCATTCTCGCCTAAGGACTGCACACATAGGAAGAGTGTAAGAATGCTTCTCTTCTTTCTCCCACACAGAGGTACCGGGAGGCTGTCTTGCTCTCAGATGCAGGTTCTGAATCAGATGAAGAAGCTACAGCAGGCCTACTGAGTGTAGCTGCAAGTTTCCTGCTATTGCCTTGAGGGCCTCCAGCAAGATCCCTGAATTACAACCCACAAAGAACACCGCTCTCTTCTCAGACCAGAGAGCCATGAACTTAGCAGCAGTCTGGGGCTCTAAGAAAGGAGGGCATGGCATGTGGGCTGGTTTATGGTCAGTTGGTTCAGCTGGCCACTCAGACCTCTTTTCAGGGCCCACAACACTCACCTCGGCCTGCCAGATGGGGTTCACGGTGTTGCCTATGATCTTGGATCTCCTCTCCTGTCCATGGTGTGGGAGGGCAGGAAAGATGCTGTGCTTTCCAGGCTGAATGGAAATCTTCAGGTAAGGGTCTGGGTTGAAAAACATCCCTTTCTTCAACCCCATGGCCTGGAAATCTATAAAATTGGAATATTTTAATTCAAATGTGTTTTGGTGAGGTTTAAGATCATATCAGGCTTTACCCAAGGAGAAAAGTCCATCTAAAATGTGGAAAAGTCTTTCCAACCTTTAGACTGTTTTCTACCTCATTACAAAGACAGACTGATATGTCTACAGAACCCATTATATGGAGCAATTACTGGCATGTAGAAAACCATTCCTTGTCAGAAATCAATACAACAGATATTGTAGTTACTATGTGTGTTAAGAGAGGATGGTTGGCCCTTCCTGGACTGGACTTCCAGCATTCCTCAGGACAGCTGGGGTCCTGAAGTCCTGAGGGCCTGAGGTCACCTCAGGAAACCTGGTGGACACTGAGAGAAGAAATCCAACTGAAAATTCTATGGGTCTAAGTGAAAATTCCTCTGCAAAGTGGAGAGGTAAGAAGGCCAAGGGCTTGTAGTCTCACAGTCAATATAGTAGGTCTATCAACCCATGTCTATGTGGCAGAACCAAAATGGGAACCAATTAACAGAGATATTGTCTCCTTCCCCAGCCCCGTGCTGCCCATCCTACATGGCATCCCGCTCAGGCTTCAGGATTTCACTGAGTTTTGGTTAATGAAATTCCCTCTCGGTTTCTGGAAGGCAGTTGAGAAGTTTTCTACGCTTCTGATGTTTCTGCAGGTTTGCACAAATAACTGTTATTTCTCAAGCATGTTAACAGAAACATAAGAATGGTAAATCAGGAGTTGTCGGCTTTATGCCCTAATAACACCAAAGTATTGAGTTTCTTCTTCCTTTTTCTTTAACTTAGATATATGCTAATGTCATCAGCTATTTTTTTTTTAAATAAAAGACTTTATTTTGAGGGGGGAGTTGTAGGTTCACAGCAAAATGAAGAGGAAGTACAGATTTTCCTATATACCTCTTGACTCACACATGCAGAGCCTCCGCCATTATCAACATTCCCCACTAGCGGGGCGCATTTGTTACAACTGATGAACCTATACTGACACATCATTACCCCAAGTCCATAGTTTACATTAGCGTTCACGTTTGGTGGTGTATCTTCCATGGGTTTGGACAAATGTATCCATTATTAGAGTATCATACAGAATATGTATACTGTCCTAAAAAGTCCTCCGTTCTCCACCTCTCCCATAATCCCCACCTCCACCCTCAGGCAACCACTGATTTCCAGTTTTGCCCTTCCCATAATGTCACATCATTGGAATCATATAGTATGTAGCCTTTCCAGAATGACTGTTTTTCACTTAGTAATATGCATTTAAGGTTCCCTCATGTCTTTTTCTGGTCTGACAGCTCATTTCCTTTTAGCAACGAACATCAATCCATTGTCTGGATGTACTACAGTTTATTCTCCATTCACCCACTGAAGGACATCTGAGTTGCTTCCACGTTTTGGAAATTACAAAAAAAGTTTCTATAAACATCTGTGGGCAGGTTTTGTACTGAGTTAACTTTTTAATTCCTTTGGGTAAATACCAAGGAATGCAATCACTGGGTCCTATGGTAAGAATATGTTTAGTTTTGTAACAAATCACCAAACTGTCTTTGAACGTGGCTGTACCACTTGCATTCCCACCAGCAACCACTGAGAGTTCTCACTGTTCTACATTCTTGTCAGCATTTGGTGTTGTCAGCGTTCTGGATGTTGGCCATTCTAATAGGTATGTGGTGGTATCTCATTGTTGTCTTTATTTGCATTTCCCCAGTGACATACGATATGGAGCATATTTTCACATGATTTTTTGTCATCTGTATGAGATGTCTGCCACGATCTTTGGCCCATTTTTTAAAGTGAGTCGTATGTTTTCATATTGAGTTTCAAGAGTTCTTTGTATAATGGATAATGCTCCTTTTAACAGATGAGTATTTTGTCAATATTTTTGCCCAGTGTGGCTTGTCTTCTTATTCTCGACATTGTCTTTTGTGGGGTAGAAGTTTTTAATTCTAATAAACTTCATCCTTTACCAATTATTTCTTTCATGCACCACATCTTCAATGTTGTAGCTAAAAAGCAAGTCATTGTCATACCCAACATCATGGAGATTTTCTCCTGTTACCTTCAAGGAGTTTTATAGTTTTGCATTTTACACTTAAGTCTGATCCATTTTTGAGTTATTTGTAAAAACTGAGGTATACTTGACATATAAAATTGTATTGGTTTCAGGTGTACAACATAATGGTTCATGAATTTGTATTATATTTGTATGAATGCAAAATGATTACCAAATAAGTCTATTTAACAGTCGTCACCACACATCGTTATATAACTTTTTCTTCTGATAAAAACGTTTAAGATCTATTCTCTTAGCAACTTTCAAATACACAATACAGTATTATTAACTTTAGTCACTATACTGTACATTACATTTACATCATTTATTTGTTTTATAACTGGAAGTTTGTATCTTTTGACCATCTTCACCCATTTTGCCTAACCCCAACCAATCTACGAGCTTGATTTTTTTTTGAGTCCATGTATAAGTGAGGTTATATGGTCTGTTTCTCTGTGTGACTTATTTCATTTAGTGTAATGCCCTCAAGTCCATCCATGTTGTCCAAATAGCAAGATTTCATTCTTTTTTTTAGCTGAATATCATTGTATTATGTATATATATGCCACAATTTCTTTATCCATTCATCCATCAGTGGACACTTAGGTTGCTTCTGTGTCGTGGTTATTATAAATAATGTCTCAATGAACATGGGGGTGCATATATCTTTTTGAGTTAGTGTTTCCATTTCTTTGGATAAACACCCAGAAGTGGAACTGCTGAACCCTATGGTAGTTCTATCTTTAACTTTTTGAGGAACCTCCATACTGGTTTTCATAGTGGCTGCACTAACTTACATCCCCACCAATAGTGCATGAAGGTTCCCTTCTCTACCACCTCACTAACACTTGTTTCCCCTTGTCTTTTTTTTTTATTTTATTTTATTTATTTATTTGATAGAGAGAGACACAGCGAGAGAGGGAACACAAGCAGGGGGAGTGGGAGAGGGAGAAGCAGGCTTCCCACTGAGCAGGATGTGGGGCTCACCCAGGACCCTGGGGTCATGACTCAAGCTGAAGGCAGACACTTAAGGACTGAGCCACCCAGGTGCCCCTCCCTTGTCTTTTGATACTAGTCATTCTAACATGTGTGAGAGGATATTTCATTGTGGTTTGATTTGCATTTCACTTACTGTAAGTGATACTGAGTATCCTTTTGTGTACTTGTTGGCCATCTATATGTCTTCTTTGATGAGATGTCTATTTGGATCTTCTGCACATTCTTAAGTCAAAACAAATTTTTTTCTGCTGAGTTGCATGAATTCTTTATATATTTTGGATATATAACCCCTTTATATATTTTGGATATTAACCCCTTTTCAGAAATACAATTTGCAATTATTTTCTCTTACTCCTTTCCATTTCGTTGACAGTTTCCTTTGTCGTGCAAAAGCTTTTTAGTTTGATGGAGTCCCATTTATTTATTTTTGCTTTTGTTGCCTTTGCTTTTGTCAAATCCCCCAAAATCACCAAGACTCAGGTCTATGCTTTCTTATAAAAGTTTTGTGATTTCAGGTCTTATGTTCAAGTCTTTAATATATTTTAAGTTATTGTTTTTGTATGGTGAAATATAGGGTCTTGTTTTATTCTTTTGCATGTGGCTGTCCTGTTTTCCCAGAATTGTTTATTGACTAGATTGTCTTTTTCTCATTGTATATTCTTGGCTCCTTGCTGTAAATTAAACGGCCATAAAAGAGTATGTTTACTTCTGGACTCTCTATCTGTTCCTTTGATCTATCTATGTGTCTTGTTTTTATGTTAATATCATACTGTTTTGATTGTTATAGTTTTGTAATATAGTTTGAAATTGGGAATGATTCCTCCAACTTGGCTCTTCTTTCCTCAGATTGCTTTGGTTATTTGGGGTCTTCTGTGGTTCCATACAAATTTCAGAATTCTTTGTTCTATTTCTGTGAAAAAAATGCCATTGGAATATTGATAGAGATTGCACTGAATTTATAGATTGCTGTGGGTAGTATCGACACTTTGACTATTAATTCTTCTCATCCATGAGCATGGACTATCTCCCCATTTATTTGCATTTTCTTCAATTTCTTTCATCAGTGTTTCTTGTTTTTGGTGTACAGGTCTGTCTTTCCTTAGTTACATTTATTCCTAGGTATTTCAGCCTTTCCGATGAAATTATAAATGGGATTATCTTCTTATTTTCTTTTTCTGAGAGTTCATCATTAGTACAGAAAGAGCAGATTTTTGTATTTTGATTTTGTGTCTTCCAACTTTATTGAATTTATTAGTTCTAACAGTTATTCAGTGGGTTAATTTTTGTGAAGGGTATAAATTCTGGATATAGAGTCTTTTTTTTTTTTTTTTTTTTTTACATGGAGATGTCCAGTAGTTCTAGCACCATCTGTTGAAAAGACTGTCTTTATTCCACTGTATTGCCATTGTTCCTCTGTTAATGATCAGTTGACTAAATATATATGGGTCTCTTTCTGGATCTCTATTCTGTTCTACCAATCTATCTGTCCTTTCACAATATGACACTAACTTGATTACCATAGCTGTAGTAAGTCTGAAGTTGAGTAAGTCAGTTCTCCAACTTTGATCTGCTCTTTCAATACTGTGTTGGTTTTCTGGGTCTTTGCATCTCTCTATAAATTTTAGAGTCATATATCAGTATCTACAAAATGACTTACTGGGGTTTTAATTGGGATTGCATTGATTCTATAGAAAAATTAAAATCTTGACAATACTGATTCTTTTAATCTATCAATATGGCATATCTCTCCATTCATTTAGTTCTTCAATTTCATTCATCAGAGTTTTATAGTCTTCCTCATACAGACTTTGTACAAATTTTGTTAGAGTTATATCTAAACATTTCGTTTTTTGTGGGTGCTAATAAAAGAAGGCATTTTGTGTTTAATTTCAAATTCCATTTGTTCATTGCTGGTATACAGGAAAGCAACTGACTTTTTGTTTATTAACCTTTATCCTGCAATCTTGCTATAATTATTTACCAGTGGCTCTTTAGGCACACATTTGCTTTACTGGGGCTCTCTTAGACATGAAAAAAATGCCAATTGACCGTCTATCTCCCAAGGACACTCACGTACTTAGTGTCTTTGTATTATATATATATATAGCTCTCTGACATTCATGGCCTGTGACATTTGTTGGTTGATAACAAACTAAGGTAACAGTTTTCTGTGTTCCATGGAGTCCTTGAGTTTCATGCCATTGTGTCTCCCCAAAGACCACTTAGAATGGAATTTAATATGTAGGGCTCTGAGCTTTGTATATCATTTTAGGCAGAGTAACTCAGTTTTTCTTTTAATTTTGAAATTATTCTGGATTTACAGAAGAGTTGCAGAGATGGTACAGATATTTTCAAGATATCTTTACCCAGTTTGCCCCACTATTAATATATTACAGAACTATAATGCATTATGAAAACTTAAAAATTAGATTACTCAACTAAATACTATTAATTAAGTTATATACTTTATTTGGATTTTCACTGACTTTTCCACAAATGTACTATTTTGAGCAGCTTGGTTTTTATCTGTTTTACCAAATGAGCTTCATGTGAGACTTCATTTAGACAGTCTGCTGGTTGCTTCTCTTCCTGGGTTTTCCCCTACCTCCACTTTATAAACTTTCAGATAATGCTAGTGATGATGGAGGCAAAGTGCAATGGCAGCTTTCATTCTTATCATCTCAAAGTGCTTTGGCATCTATTACTTACTGACTCTTCCGATATCCTTATGAGGTCAAGGAAAACTGAGCAGATATTTTTAATTTTTGTTTTAAATTAAATGTGGAATTAAACTAGCAGATGGGGAAACTGAGGCACACAGAGATGGAGTAACTTGTAGGTAAGAGTCAAATTGAAGTAGGTCACCTAACTGTTGGTTGACCTTTTTATTGTCTCCATAGGCCTTCAGGTGAGCAAAACATACCTGAGAGAGAAAAGCTGATCAGCCTCCGACTTCCTTGGCCTTGGACAGTCTCATCAGAGCCAATGCTTTTAAAAATCTGTAAGAAGGAAAATGGGAGACAAGCAAAACAAGCATTGGAATAGATACTCACACTGCAAAGCAAACATGCTTAATCATAGTTATTTCTCCAACTATAGTCTACAAAGACAGCAGTGTTGTGATTTTATTAGGCTACTATTGATTAAAACAAGCTTCTAGCAATCTTATGTCTTTCCCAGTAATAGAAGATCTGCTAGTGGGGAGGAGGGGTATTTTTCAGAGTAATGGAAATCAACAAACACAATTACTGTAATATTAGAGTCTCTTTGTAACTACTTATGTAAACAACATCTTTTCACATTCAAATTTGCAAAAACTATTTATTAAAGCAGACCCTAAGGCAACAGAATGATAGGTCAATAGATGTTTACTGCTGTAATTATAATGTGTTTCCATTTAGCAAAGTATGCTGTAAAACTGTGGTACCTCCATTTCTTCTGATCTGTATTATTATCTAGGGATTTCCAGGAAATTCTGTGTATTAGGGAAGAGCCTGAGCACAGCATTAAGAACTACTCTGAGGTCTCTCTTATTTAATCTGGGAAATTTCAGAAACATAATTGTTACATGGATTATCTGTAGTCTGGTAAGTATTTGCAAGTCAAGTTGCTAAAATGTTTTATTTTCCAGCATTGCTCAATATATATCTGCTAATATATTAATCAGAACAACTAAAGTCCTTGCTTCCATTTTCTCCTAGGAGAGTTCTACTCAGAAATGATCATGACTATTTATTCAAAGGCAGATTTACTATTTAAAGCACTGCATTTGCAGAAAATAATTTTTAAAGTCAGATTATGAAGCAAATTCATACAGTGTCCGCTTCTTTTTTTGTAAGGATTTTATTTATTTATTCAACAGAGAGAGAGAGAGAGAGCACAAGTAGGGGGAGAGGCAGAGGGAGAGGAAGAAGCAGGCTCCCTGCAGAGCAGGGGAAGCCCGATGTGGGACTCCATCCCAGGACTCCAAGATCATGACCTGAGCCGAAGGCAGTGGCTTAACCAACTGAGCCACCTGAGCCCAGGTGCCCAAGTGTCCACTTTTTAGAAGATAATCTGTCCTGAGAAAGGAGAAGATAGAAAACTTGAACTTGTCGACCTCTAGCTCAAAGTCTCTGTTGTAGGTTCTGGGGCTGTTTCTATTGCTTTTCAGTATCCTTGATGCTGTAAGAGTGTGACTGTATGTTACCATCAAGCTGCCTTTGTAGACTTAAGTGTAATGAATGGGCATCACTAGGGCTCACAGCTTTGGCCCAGGAGAGTACAAAGGGATTTCTAGAATCCTTCCTCACACTGAAGCTGGTGTCCCTGGTGAGCCTACGTGCTTGGCTTTAGCTAATGTGCAAATCTCCTCAGTATACCTGTTTTCAGACCCAAGTGCAAGGTGCATCTCAGGGCTCCTGGGCTGCTGGCAGAGGAAATCAATGTCAGTGGCATATGGAATGGATCTTGGCATCAAGTGAGATAAGAGATAGGTCTGTTACCTGAATCTCATTTGATAATAAACAATCAGAGGAAGACACGGCCTGGGATTTGTGGGCTGGGAATATGGGCTGGTCCCAAGGCATTATCTCCCCTCAATTTGGAAAGCCTGATTCTTTCTACTCTGTGTGTGGTCTTCAACATCGCCTGGCTGACACAGAGCCAGAGAAGTCAACAAACAGCTCAGACACTGTGTCCTCAGCCTTGACCCTTCTCCTAACTCTTGAAGTGGCCAATAACACCTAAGCATAAATCAAAATTCCTTAATGTAAATTTTTCTTCTTTGTCAGACCTATGTCCAGATGAAGGCCATAGGAGCTCTCAGTAGGCTGGCCACAACCCCTTACGCTGCTGTACGTGCCAGAGTAGGACAATGACAACTGTCTTCCTAATTCTAGTTTAAAGATGCCAACATCTACCTTATCTCCTCAGAATATAAGTTCACTGAAGACACAACAAAAACCATACTTTAATATAGACTTGTAGAATTATAAGTCTAAAGTGTGTGCATTCCAATTTTTAAAAAGTGGAGGATTAAACTACACATTTCATAACAGACTTATACAAGCTTAAACCTGCAATCATAGCAAAGGATAGTTTGAAGCATATATATCTTGTTTCTTCCTATTTAAATATTCCTCTGCTCATTATGCAGGATATTTACAAACTATTTCTTCATCTTTATGGTATCAAAAAAACAGGTCTGTAGACAAAGAGAGAAGTGTGTATTTTTCAGAGGCTACTAAGCTCACAGAGGAGACACATTTAAAACCCCACAGAAATCTACTTAGCTCATGGCTTTTTGTTAACATTATTTACAGTCATCTCGGCACCAGATTGACGATATGAATGTGGTGGCCAGCAGTAACCATGATTAACATTTTCCAGGAAGGAAAAATGTTTGCGTGTTTCAGGAAGGTTCTGCATCCCGACGTCTTGGTGGAGGTGAGTTCCAGGAGTGTGTTTGAGGTTAAAAGATCTGCTGCACATATAGACGCCCTACCATTTATGGTCTGTGAAAACGGTGTGAAGACTCAGCCAGAGAGTTCACCCTGGAACTACTTGAGTAAGGTGATGGAGGCAGGTGACGACTGCGCATCTTCTCGGGTCAATAGGTTCTCTTAGTTCCCTTTGCTCTTTCCCATGTGTGATGCCTCGCTGTTACCCTAACCACCCGGTGCTAGTCCAGAGGCCTCCTGTCAGATGCAGCCCTCGCCAGTTCATTGGTTGTTTTCCACAAAGACGTCTCCACAACAAGCCTCCTCGGCAACTGGCTTAACAGATTCACAGCCTAATCTGTTGGTGGTGTGCGGAAGATTCCCGAAGGCTATGGAGAAGGCCCCTGGGGTTGAGTGAAGGGCTTTGGGGTTAGTTCTGATGTATCTCTCCTACTCACATTCTCATTTTCTCTTTAGGTCTGTTGTCTGAAAGGCTCTAAGTATGAATCCACACCGTTACATGCTCCCAAAACACAATTGGGCAAAAAACAGAGTGGAGAGCAGGCCTTTTTACCCTGGCAGGGGAACTCTGCTTCAGCAGTGTGAAGGTGTGTAACTGTTCGCTGGAAACATGCGAGCCTCGAACACGTGGTCATATGAGTGTGTTAACCTATATCCTCCGTCCCCCAGTCTCTGAGAACACAGAGGTTTCTCAACGGGTGCCCGCTCCTTCCCAGAGGTAGGCAAGTGTGCCCTGGGGTAGGGTGAAGGGGGAAAACATCTGCTGTGGAGCACCCACTGTACTCAAAATTTGGGGTAAAACTAATTTAAAAACAAACATGAAGAGCATTAAAGTCGAATGCAAAATATGTGTGCATTTTGAGGTAAAAAAGGAGTCTTCAAAGAACTCTCTTGCACGGGAAAGGTGACTCTGAGTTGTTTCTGTAAATGTCCCGGACCTGGCTCTTCTTCCTCAGGTAAAAGCTGGAAAAGCTCCATGTAGCACACTGCCCACCCCCAGCATTTCCAACAGGGGTGTGGCCACAGTATGCTCAATTCTAATGCATTAACTCCATTTATATAGCCACAATTATTCTCAAATAATTGTAGATGACTCTTCCTCCTAAGATGCTGACAAGGTTTGTGTTCAGTTCCAGAACAATTCAAGCAACAATGATGCCAGAAGTTGAAATTCATGACTTCACTGAACCTTTATTTATTTATTTTTAAAGATTTTATTTATTTATTTGACAGAGATCACAAGTAGGCAGAGAGGCAGGCAGAGAGAGAGGAAGGGAAGCAGGCTCTGTGCTGAGCAGGGAGCCCGATGTGGGGCTCGATCCCAGGACCCTGAGATCATGGCCTGAGCCAAAGGCAGAGGTTTAAGCCACTGAGCCACCCAGGCACCCCTGAATCTTTATTTATTTACCTGACCCAGGTAACTCTCATTTTCCTATAAATGCAAAGTGCAGGGCTCCATGATTGTTAATATGAATTTAAAAATCGGGTGCCAGCTAACACAGCATTACCAATAATGAGCTATCCAAGCTGTGGCATATTAGCAGCCAAGAGCAGGGAATTATGGGTTCCATTTTAGATCAGAGATCATACAGTTCCCATACAGTTCCCATACAGTTCGATATATTTTGCCTCCATCTCATAGTTAATCTGATATGCCTCCAAGCTGCCTTGGAAAAAAACATAAAAAGAAATCAAACAAATCCAAGTTCCAAGTTTCCTTTCTACCTCCAAGTCTCTGAAATGTTCAATGTGCAAATAATAAACAAAGAAACACATTATAAATGTTTATAGAGCACTTTTAAGTACATTTGTCTTACTGAATCCTCATAATATGATTATGAGGTGGTTAGGCAACTCATTCCAAGTTCTCCAGCAGAAAGGTCTACAAGCCTAAAGTGCAAAGTCATCTTTAGGGGCATAAAAGAATGAAACACAAAATTCTAACAGTCAGCCCCATCCCAGGCCATTTCCCAACCCCAGGGACACCTGTGATGGAAGACTTACAAGGCCCATCCAAGGGGCAAGAGACAAGTAACAGGGATGAAGGCTGGTGACATGCCAAGCCCGGAGCCAGTACTTCTAGACATACTCTTAGAATGGTTTGCAAATTAAGCATCATTCACTCATCACTAGTTCACAAGTGTGAAAGCTGAGCTCAGAACAATTTGTTGGCTTCCCCAAATGCACCTGGGATGAATCCACCTCTGGTCCCTCTGCTTAAATAGAATGAGTTGCAGAACCTTCGACAGAGCCCTTCAGCCCTTTGAGGCCATTTCCTCAGACCCAGCCTGGCTGCTCAGCCCTTCAGCTCCTATTCTGTTATTTTGCTTGCTCCTCTCTGCCTTCTGATGCTGCTGTCACCAAGTCAGCTTCCAGAATCCCCACTGCTCCTACTTTATTGCCTTGAAGGCAAGGCATGGGCTTCCCAATCTCAGGGGTCTTCTGCTAATCACTTTGGGCAAAAAGAGAGGGGTTGGAAAATGAGGTATTCCTCCTAGTTTTCATTGCGTGAATTGAATAAAACGTGTAACTACTGGGGAATGATTTTCTAGCTCTGA